CCGGTCAGTTAGTTTGTTTCAAGTTTTTTAAGTAATGAAATGCAAACATTGTGATCTCAGACTCCAACCGACAGTTGTTCACTTCTCTATATCAATGTTCCCGTATTAGTTCCCATATGTCTCTTCAAAATCACTTATTTTCTTGGAATTTCCATTGCTTCTTCATTTTAATCTCGGATTCTTATATCACAGAGTAACCACAGGATCTTATCAAAATGAAGAACCAGAATCCATTTTCTTCAGGTGGGTGTGGGAAGTCCATGAATATTATCGCCCCATTGTCACTTGTTAAACTCCTGTTTGGTTTATTCTTCTTCGTTTTCGGGTTAACTTTTGGGATAATTCTTTGTTTCCATTACAAGAGTTTCTCTCTCAATCTACTTTTTACCAATGGCAAACTCTCTATTTTCTCTTCACAATCATCAGCATCAGCATCATCATCGTCATCATCTGTATCAACCCCTCCAGTAATGAGTACTTCAAATACAAGTACTTATGATCCAGAGCCACCTAATGTTATTATGCATAACATGAGTGATGAAGAATTGCTGTGGAGAGCCTCGATGACTCCAAGAATACAAGAATTTCCGTTCAAACGACGTCCCAAGATTGCATTCATGTTCTTGATTAGAGGACCGATTTTGTTAGCCCCTCTGTGGGAGTTATTCTTCAAAGGAAATGAAGAGCTATACTCAATATATGTGCATTCTGATCCAGCTTTCAATGAATCAGACCCTCAAGGTTCAGTTTTTTATGACAGGAGAGTTCCTAGTAAGGTCCGTCAGTTCAACTCATTCTTATTGCATTATTCATTTCATTATAATATAAATTGCTGTTTAAACACATACAATATCTATAGCTTGCTGTTGTTCTTGTCCTTATTTTTAATATGAAAATAATAATCAACATATCATACTATCGTTTTTACATATTCTTTTGCAGTAAATATTTCTTCTGGTGTTAGATAAATGTATTTTACTGAAGATAACTGGAGAATTTATCTATTAGGTGAACCGTACCAAACTTAATATTAAAGCAATTTATTCAGAAAATTTGTAGCTATAATCTCTTTTTTTGGTATCTTTATGTTCTCTGCAAAAATGGGGAGATGGGGGAGAACATTAGTACGACTTTCAATTAGGTGCTCGACAATTTTGTGGTCCTGCTTCGAAAATTCTATATTAAGAATGGCAGTCAAGTACTCAATGTCTGAAACAGAGCACAATCAAAGAAGTGGAAAATATCTGAAAAACGAGCATGAATAAATTTCAAAAAGAAATGGTAATGGGTATCTATTTGTCCATTTCACTATTATAAAATGTGGTGTAATGTGCATAATTTTCATAAATAGGTAGCAGCAACACTTGAACTTGAGTCTTTTATATGTTCTGATACCATATTGAACCATAAAATCTAAAAATTTAGCGTCTGTTTGAGCCTCGTTTTTTGTAAAAATGTATTTTGGAATAATAGATTGATGGAGAATGTGTAGTTGAAAAATAAGAAGAAGTTTTAGATTTACGTGTAATATTTTATTAAAAAATGTGTGGCTGAAAAGAATAGAAAAATAATATATTTTGGAAGTAATGGAAATCAAACAAGCGCTTAATGTGTCAGAGAAGATGCACTATTTATATAAATGTAGCCCTCAAGAATGGTAAGATTTGTCCAAATCAAAATCAGGTGGATCCACCCAAAATAGAAGATAAACCTAATAGGATAGAAGACATTCTTTTCAATAACAAGAAAATACCATGGCTATTTAGTAG